CGTTGCCGGCCTTCAAGGTAGGAATAGGCTCTCTTCTTGAAGGTCCCTAAGTCGTATCGGTCTGGAAATACCGCTGGCGACAACTCGTTCCACAAAGTAGTTGTGCGTGGTAGAAAATTTCGCGAAAAACGCACAGTGGTGGACCGCCAACCATCAAGGTGGTGTCGAGGGTACTTGGCGGTTAATTTATTCGAACTTGGCTATCGCATTAGGTATTTGCCTGTAATGATAGTTGTAAGTTGATGTATAAAATAAAATAAAATAAACTCAAAGTAGCTTGGGTTTTAAATAGATTAAAATAACTATGGACTGGCTTTTGATTGTGTATGATTTAAAACGTGCAATTAAAACCGACCGCCATCATTAGAGTGGTCTCGGAATTGAAATAAATACTTGGCTCGCGTGGGAGTGTCTCCGCCCTAACCCTCACGCCCCGGTACGAAATGCGGGTGGATAGACGCATGTTTTGATATTTCGCAACCTATTAATGAACGGTCCCGTCCGTAACCCACAATTAGAGCTATATTTAGGCAAAGTGATCAATGGAGCGAACAAATCGATGACTTTGAGCGGCCTTTTGTGGTCTTTTGTGGTTTTTAGCCACGTAAAGCTCGCAACCGCGTGTGGTTTCGTAAATCACAATTAGGTGAGTTTTTCTTTTGTGCAACTAGCATACAACATATAACAATAGCGTGATCGATATCCAAGTTCCAATTCAGAGATTCTGCTCACGAGTAATGTTTCTTGGTTTTTTGTAACAGAGCTTAGACACTAAAATAAGGGAAGTAAAACTGTTTAATTGTGCAGTTTTGGGAGTTTAATTTCGAAAAGTATTATGCAAAAATAATAGTATGTACTTAGACAATAATATAGAAAAGAGTACGTCAATTATAAAGTTTAGAAAAAAATTATACGTCTTGTCTTAGTTACTACATTGCTTATATAAGGAAATTTTATGCGGAATTTCACGTTTCAAGAGTTCTTATGTACTTGAATCTGCGACTTGTTCATAATTTAGAGTTTATTTGCGATTGTGTTACTAAAAATGCTTGCAGTTGGACTAACGGGACAGTGGGATGGTCTGCCCTAATATGAATTACTTACGTTTATTTATTTATTAGGTAATGCCATCAATTTTTGTCAAGATTATCAACTTTAATTAATACGTAATCATCCTTATGCAGTAGATGACATACCTCTACTGGCGGTTCACATGATGTTAAGTAATAACTGCCGCCTATGGACATTTGCGACACCATTAGTGTTACAGAAGCGTTGCCACCTTTTAATAAAGTGGACCCCGGCTACCTCACTCATCAGACGAAACGCACACTGTAACACTTCCATTTCACGCCGGTCTACTGTGTAGTACTTCGCCGGATGGACCTGCCCATTCGTGCAACAGCGAAGACTGTGTCAAGGCCCTACCAAAGTCAAGTTCTGTCTGTTCAGTCGAGTTCTGCGTTCGATGAAGCTAGTCTAGTCTAGAATAGTCTACGAACTGAAGGCAAAAACCTCAGTTAAAGTGAAGTGAAGCAGAAGCATAAATACTCTGCCATGGTGGTCTTCTGTGACCCCTCACGCACCAGCAGAACTTGCTGCGTTTCTTTATTAGAGTATCGTAATTCCTAGCGGTTGATTCGGACTAGATATAGCCATAAATTGACCGCGCCACGCCCGGACGGTAGATGATGGAGTGTGATTTTTTGCCACCGGCCGCCATATTGGAATTTATGATTTCATTTAGGGTGGGCGCGTGTGGCAAAAACTTAATCGATAGGGTCAAGCGGACCCTTCGCGAGTTAGGGTTGGCGGGTTTTTTTCCTGCGATGTGGAATGTCATAGTTAACTGGTTTTTTCTTTTAATTCGATACTGTCCACCCGCTTTGAAGTTTGCGGCACGTTTGGGCCTATTAGTATAGCCTATATATGTATTTATATATGTCTTAACCTAACTAGATACGTTATCTCAAGGTTATCTTGAAAAGATCGCTATTTAATGACAAGACCGCTTTGGTATACACTTTATAAGCTTTTCTTGTTAATTAAATTCCTTTTTAGTTTTTTATACGATAATTTTTTCAACACAAAACATAAGCTCGCCAGTTAAACTACGCGTTAAACAGCAAGGCCACATTGATACATTGTTTATTATTGGATTTCTTGTTAAGGCAGCGTTTTACAATTTGCGTAGGATCGTTGAAGGACAACAATTTCAATTAAATATATTCGATTTTCAGTGAGGTTTACAAATGAGATTTTTTGGGATTTCTGACACGTTGTCGACAGTGACGGTGGCCACCAAGGCAGTGGACAGTAAATCTTTTGTAGACTTTAACCTCAAAGTCAAACGAATACAATTTGTCAGTTAATATACAAGTATTACTATTACGTATATAGTAGGTACTTAAAATTAAATTCGCCTATGGCTTTATAAGATCCTTCCGACCCTATCCTCCTAGTGTACTAAGCAATCACTTTTCCTGCGCATCTTGGTTGTGGAAATTATCCGTGTGGGTGTAAAGTCGTGTGAACGACGTAGGAAACTTACTGGAGTCTGTCTTTGTTTTTTTTTTATGTGAGATGGTGGCAAACGAACTGGCGGTATCGTTCGCAACAACCGTAGGGTTGCTGATGCGTTGCCACCGTTTTAATAAAGTGGGCCCCGGCTGCCTAACCCACCAGGCGAAACGCAGAAGTGTAACACTTCTACTTCACGCCGGTCTTCTGTGAGGTCGTGGGACCTGCCCATACGTGCAACAGCGAACACGTTGCGTCGCCCTACTACAGTTTCGATCCCATCTGACGTCTTTCTGAGAAACATTTTTATCCTGGTAAAGCATCTTCCGCCAGGATTTAGACTTTACCCTCAGTTTGGATACTAAATTAGCATAAAGTGGTTTATGAGAAAAAGACCAATTATTTAGCTGCTGTAGTCACTAAATAATAATGCGGAAAGAATTTTTAAAATCGTTTCATAAATGACAGAGTTCTAAGGTCGCAAACATACAACCGAATTGGGAACATCTTCCTTTATGAAGAATCTGTTAAAATGCTTCTATTTCACGGTCTTCTGTGAGATCGTGGGACCACTGCCCATTCAAAGTCGTTCAACATATATGCGAACACGCAATGGATTTTGATGCGATTTAATAATCTTTAATAGATATAGTGATTCAAGAGGAAGGTTTATATGTATACTTCATGCAAAATATAGTAGAGAAACACTGATAGTTTTAGAGGTTTCTAATGCGATGTCGAAAACAAACATTCAGCATTGCACCCGTGCCAAGCCGGGGCAGGTCGCTAGTATATTATAAGTTAAAAATGTTCCGCGTTAGTCAGTTTAATGTAAAACTGTGGCGTAAATATGGATAGCGTAAGCATTAATTTTTTCTAAAATCGTATTCTGCTACATAGTGATTCATTGACCACACAGCCTTGTCCTTTTAAAGTTCTTTAATGTGAGTAGGCGTAGTTTATTCGATAATGTTTAAATCTTTATGGTCAATGTGAGTAAAAACGATATGATTTAAAATTGGTTATGCACAGCCATCGGGGATATAGCTCAGTGGTAGAGCATTCTACTGCAGATCGAGAGGTCCCCGGTTCAAACCCGGGTGTCCCATGCACAACTTTTGTTTCTTTTAATTTAGGATATATTTTTTGTTTTTATTTACAGGGTTATACTAACCAAAAGTGTAACTTTTGTTTCTTTTAATTTAGGATATATTTTTTGTTTTTATTTACAGGGTTATACTAACCAAAAGTGTAACATTTTTGCTAGTGCAGTCGTCCATAACAATTAGACCACTGAGTATTAGAGAATGTTTAGAATAATTGGAAAATAATAATTAGAGAATATTTAAAATGTACAAAAAAAGTTGTCGAAAAATTTTACGCCATCACAAAGATTCGACCTGTCTTTTTTTTTTTTTTTAAACATTGCCCTTACTTTAGGATAATATTATCCTGTGTTGTAAGGACGTTTTACAAACATAAATTTCACGCGGACAAACACCCAGATGCGAAACAACTATCTGTGGGTCACACAAATAGTTTGAATTACTTTACTGTTAGTGAAATTAAAAAACATTTTTTTTCTTTTGAAAAACATTGCCATTAAGTTACATGTCCCACCGCTGGGCAAAGGCCTCCTCTTTACGGAGGGTATCAGGGCATAGTCCATGCGGATTGGCGGACTTCACATATCTTGGGAAAATTTTTTTGTTATTATTTCGAACATATGCTTCAAGATGTTTTCCTTTACCGCTGAGCACGTCATAAGTCAGCACTTAAAATTAACAATTTCGTTGATGGCGGCATCGGAGATTGAATTCATTTTGCTTGAGTATCTTGAATTTAAAGCGAGCTCCCAGACAATGAGCTATCTCGGATCTTTGGGGAGGAGGGAGCATATTAGATTTAATCTAATATGTTTGAATGAAAATGCAATTATGTATTATATATATATATATATATATATATATATATTTGCATTTTCAGCAATACGTCCCTAAAACTGCAGAAAAATGAAGTAGAAAAGATGTAGAGCTTCTCGCGCTGTAAAAATATCGACCGCTTATCTTAGTGAGTGAAGTTTATGGAGGTGCACTTCGGAAGGTGCAGGCTACGGATCTTTGTAGCGGGGATAAAAGCTTCGACAACTTTAGATATTACATATACTGAGTTTCATATACAGTGAAGCGACTAACACTAAAATTAAAAATTTAAAAATATAAAAGAAACAGTAATATTTAAAAGCCTTTAATAAGAGAACATTTTGCGAAAATATCGTTGATGATATATTTACTAACAAGTTTAGGCGACAGGAAGTTGTAATGAAAGGGACATCGGTCCAAAATTGAATTAAATAAGTAAAATGGTCGGGCAAATAACAGCTTATTAGTGTGGTAGACGCAAAAACTGCTTAGCTGTCATCAAATGTGGATCACGCTTTGCACTAACGAGGTGGATAGCGAAAGTCAGGAGGTCCGAAAATGTCGACTATTAGTGTTTTTTCTGGCAGCATAAAACTTTTCTGCAGAGGCTCCGGGGACAGGTGCGAAGTTTTCCTGTCTCCTTCAAGCTGTGAAGGTACTGAAGAGATTTTCTCCTTCCTTTGTGCCGTGCCGACACCAAAAGGTATCCAGTATTAAAAGAAAAAGTAAAAAAAAAAAAAAAACGGGCCAAGTGCGAGTCGGACTCGCGCATGAAGGGTTCCATAAAATTATCTATTAAAACGGCAAAAAAAAGTCATGTCTGTTGTATGGGAGCCCCCACTTAAATATTTTTTATTACGTATTTTAGTATTTGCTGTTATAACGGCAGCAGAAGTACACCGTGTGTGAAATTTTCAATTGTTTAACTATCATGGTTCATGAGATACAGCCTGGTGACCGACAGATAGGCAGACAGACTATTAATAGGGACTAACTATTAGTCAATGAGGTCATAAAAGTAGTACTTCAACTGTAACATATACGCGTATTTTATATTAAGGTGATTACCGCCACCGATATTTACAATATCTGTTGCATTGCCAGCTTTCAAAAGGCTGCTACCTACCTCACACACCAATGGCAAAAGTATAAATATTTCTGTTTTTCGCTGGGCTCTTTTGAGGTAATTCCTCGATTCGTCGAGTCGTGAACTTAATTTATTACATATTCCACTTGTATTTCTTTGCACATTACATGTACCATTTAATGGGCTTTTAGAACTCATTTTCTTTACACAGCAAAAACTAAACAAGACCCGTGCCCTAATTGAATTAGTTCCCCACACGAATTAGGACTGAGCCGCAAACTTGAAAATTATACACTTGGCCCGATTAGTCGTGATGTCGTGTCGCGGATTTCGAAAAAAAAAAAAAAACTTGTCATGGCCGTCTCGAGACCCGTGATAATGACAGTGCGTGCCGTGAAATGAGAACCGTGATATGTTAGCTAATGGGATATTATTACGATTATCTCTAGTGAGGTGAATATATTCTGTTCCCAGCGACAGTTAATACTAGTCAGTCCTGAGGTCTAAGGGTTCTATTTTTATTGGTAGAATCACACGTATATTTTTCTTTTGACTTCATTAATTTTGAATTCATTTTGTTTTAAGTTATGTGGTGTATTTCGAAGGATGTTTAGATTATCAGTTGTGTATGTATCTATATACCTTAATCGGAGTTTTCGGCTGCTGTTTTAAATTAATTTAACGTTTAAAGTAAGATTATTAAAAAAAATAGTTTTCTTCATTTTAGTAAAGAAATTCGACGATAAGCCGGGGTCTGTTTTCCAATCCGTATGTACACAACTTTATAGCTTTCAAAGCAGAGGCAAATTGTTGAGCGGGCTGATCACCGTGAAATGTGAACAATTCGCCATTTCCCAGGAGATAAATCCAAGCACGGAGAAGAAGTTAGTAATTTCGCCCGCACCCTCTTACCAGGTATATATCGCCATCGGGGTGATTTTTTCCTAATAATCGCATAACAAATTGAACGCGTAAGACATTACGATTCTGTACGGACATTAAGGTCCTATTTGATAGTGACCCGCGGCTGTTGTGGCGAGAATTTTATGGCTCTATCTATTAGACTTTTGCCGTTATTTTCACCCTGGGGGTGCAATTCGATTAATATACAAAGTTGCGCTCTGAAATCGTAAATGCTTTTTGACAATCTCTCGTCCCAAGATGGCGTCGGGCGGGAACAGAATGCCGAGTCTTTCGACCGCTTTTACTATCTACCTAACATCAAATTACGTTTTTTGCAAAGTTAATTCGTAAAACCTTATTCTTAGACCAATAAAAAAAAGTCATTGAACATTGATCAATGTAGATAAAAGACGTGGAGATTTTTGTCGGTGTGGCAATCAGCCATTTAGCTTAGTGGCTAGCTAAGTACCAGGGCGCAAATCCCGAAGACATGGCGCGGCGAAGGATTTTTCGGACTTTTCGTACTTTTTTCTACAAATTTCAAAGATTGATTTGATCTTCAGTAAATTATCAAATTTAGAGAAAGTCTAACCTGGTGATGTTTTTAAGCGGATCAATAATAAATAGCCAATAAATATTTAAATTAATAAAAAAGCTTATGTCAAGATAATAATTGTAACCGCTCCTAAGTAGAATCACAAAAGAAATTGTCATTTGCAAAGTTTACTAAAAAAAAAACGTTCAAATTGTTTTAGGTATTTTCTTCAGTTTACTGGAGTAAGGAGATGTTGCTGGAGGAAACCGGTGGACAAAAGGATAAGTCTCCGGCAAATACTTGGTTCAGCGACGCGTGCAAAATGGCGGACGCATGGAAGTCCGGGAGAGGACGCGTACCTTCCGATCGCAAACCTTCTTGATACTTGAGCCAAAGTGAGTCACTAATTATTTTTACGGGAGAAGATAACAATTCGAATCAATAAGGGGTGATTTCTAATTGCCTCAGTCTCCTTTACCGTGTAAACTTTTACCGTTGCACAAATGGGCAGTTCCTGAGAAGTAACAAGGCCTTACAGGAAGCCGACGTGAGGTGGAAGAATTAAACTAATGTTGCACCTCGTCTGGCCACTTAACACTTACTTCACTAGGTAACTAGGAACCTTCACTCGACCTAGGAATGGTTGCCAAATTGTAAATGTTTACCCGTGCTGTCGGCGGTAATCCCTTTACGTTAGGTGAAATACTCGCTTGCTTACATTCTTCTAAAAAATAATATTAAATGTTTCTATCATACATATTTGTTTCTATTATATAGTTAAGTGTTTTGAAAACCAGCCGTTGCTGCTTCGATGCAATTACAAATAAACGTGATTAATGTCATGTAGTTATATTTATATATTTTAATGAACATTATTAATGATTTTTGATGTATCAAGGTAACTCGTTCGGTGTACATTGTGACAATATTGGCTATTAAACGGAAGTGCGATATCTTACAAATTCCGCTTACTTCCGTTGCCGTGAAACCTTTTTAGGTAATTATAGGAAGTCCCAATTTTATCCGCCCTTTCTAAAATTATCCATCGGCCCCTCGTCGATGTTTCTGGGAATTAATCAATTGGAGCCCAAACATGATATTCGATGCAGTTCAACTAAGCGCTTCGAGCCTCAACGCTATCGAAATTTGTTTATACATCTTAATTTGAAACTATTTTCATTTTAGCTACGATTTAAGATGACTAAAGAACTCGTACGAAACACTTTTGTTTAGATAGTTGTGTTTCCCATACCTCATAATTAAATCTAATCATTAAACTGCAATAAAACAGAAACCGACATTAAATGCAACTTAACTAGATTTCATGATTTGTTTTGCGCGCAAGCGCGAAGAAGCCACGCAAGAGGCGTCGTCTTGGTAGATTCGGCACAACTGTCACTTTTCCCGCCAACTCGTTTTCGCGCAATGACGTTGGGTTTTTGTCCGATTTTTCGGGCAGATGTTTCGGTTTTTTGCGTGTAAATCACGGCGCATCGAAAATACGCTGCATTATTGGGTAATTGGACAGCTAATGAGAGTTATGATCAGGAATTTTAGATATTTTCTTGGGAATATTGTGACAGATGTAGGTCAGGATCGTGAGAAAACCTGTACGATCTTTAAGGTGACGAGAAAAGACTTCACTCATTTAACTCACTTGTAAAAAATAACTATACAATGCTATTTTCATTTAAACAAAGTACCACTTTCAAGAATACAAAAAAAAATAAGTTTAAACACAAGGTATGCATAATAAGACCCGAGTTACGTGGTGTTATTTAAATCTTCCTTTGGGTGATATTAATACAAAATGTAATGTTTACCAAAAACTGACGGTAGCCCGGGTTAACTATGACAATCAGACGTCTAACACCTCAGTCTGTCCCGTGACCATGAACGCTGTAAAGGGTTCGAAGCGTCGGGAATTAAAATTAAAAATAAACGCGATAAATCCGTAAAATTAGTTTCAATAATGTTTACCGTCGCAGATAAATCCCATAAATGCCATTTTCTTGTACATACAAGAGCAATAATTGAATGTTTGCATTTTGTTAGACCATTTGTTGTTTAACCATGTTTTTACTTCAATTTAATTGTATACAACAGGCAGAAACTTGCACCGTGTAAATGGGTCTTAACAAAAACTCACTTATACATTTATTGCAGTGAAAACTTCTTTACGCGCGTTGAGCACTTTTAGGGTGAACAAAAACCGATGGAACTCGCGTCATCGTCACCGAACGCTTTCCATTTATTTTAAATATTTAACTTTTTATTATTATTATATAAATAAATTTATTTTTAAACTTAAGAATAATTATGAACAATTATTTTAACATAATAATTATTTTATTAATAAATAAATATATTAGTTATTGTTAACTTATTTAGTTTTCACTTCTGTCGGCTGTACCCAATGCTAAAAGAAATAAGCAAATACGACATAACCTCGACGGAAAGGCGACACGAGTGTAAAACTATTTTGTCACTGGCACGATTTGCTATAAAAACAAGAGCAAAACTGAACAAACCGCCACACACTTCGAACGCGATTTAAAAAAAAGCAAAGCTGCGCGGGTAATGAGGCGTATGATTCGCCGGCGCCCGTGTGGCCGAAGCCTTACGTGCGGTCACCCACTGGCCTACTGCCGTTTGTTAGAAAAAAAGATTTTAATTTTTTTTTCTATCCAAGCACACTAAGCGGCCAGTTAGTGAACAGATATCGCAATGTTTTTTTTTTTTTCAATTAGCTTCTCTTGACTTGATCGTGTCTCCTAAAAATAGTATTAACGTAATAGCAGATGATCTTTTGGCTGATGATTAGATATCTATTAGTGTTACTCAGGTTTTAGGATTGAAGTTTAGTTACTGTTGCACGAGCGGGCGGGCCCATTTTGCCACGGCCATGGTGCCATGACAGACCGGCATGGTGGCCGTGCAACCTTAGACACAGTGCCGCCTGATCGATTATCATCACCTTCGGAAATAGGCATTTTTATCTGTGGTAGTGCCACGCAACAGTGTTTGCTGGTGCACGAATGGGCAGGTCCGTCCGGGTGAGTACCACGATCTAACAGAAGACTGGCGTGAAGTGAAAGTGTTACACTTCTGCGTTTCGCCTGGTGAGCGAGGTAGTCGGGGCCCACTTTATTAAAAGGTGGCAACATATATGCAACACCCGGGATGTTGCATATGTCCATGGGCGGCAGTTAACACTTAACATCAGGTGAACCTCCAGCCCGTTTGTCACTTTCTCACATAAAAAGATATCTAAAAATTTAAAATCCCACTAATTTAAAATTTTAGGTATCTTCAGAGAGCTTAACGAGCAAAAACTCTGTGATCCGTAGACTATGCATATTATTAACTACAAGTATTGATGAAATTTAAAATTAATGATTTATTAATCTGAAAATAACACAATTTTAATAGGTGTCACAACTCAATTTTAATAGGTCAAAATCGTGGAAGCCTTGCCTTATATACTAATAAAAAAGTTAAACACAACTTTTTGTTTTTATGGAAAATGAGACAAACGATCAAGTGAGCCACCGATGGTAAGTTGATCATTGGCGCCAATAAACTAATAATTCTAGAGCAGTTACAAATGCGTCGGCGGTTGGGCAAAAAATAGTTATGCATGGTAAAAAAATTGTGTAAAATTGCACAGTGGTGGGCTGTCAACCATTAAGGTGGTATCAACGGTATTAGTTTTCTTAACGCGTTGTATGGTGACGAAACTCAGTCGCAGATATAATAATTACAATAACATCTCGAGAACTTCTACATCGGACTTGTTTTCAGATAGTGCCGCCAAGCTAAAGAAAAAATTGCTAAAATTATTTTCCGAAAATACTATATTACTTTAATAATCACAGATTGTTGTTCCTCATTTTAACTGTTTTCGACTGGTTTATTGTCAAACAGATTTCCTGATCTCCCCACGTACTTGTAGAAACTTAAATAGTATTATTAGTCCATGTATAAATCATACCTAAATTTATTGCATTGTTCATCATCATAATCATACCTAAATTCATTGTTTATCACTGTTTTTAATGTTTTTTACCGCTATTTCCTTTATCAATTATTTGTTTTTAATTTATTAATTCTTGTTTTAATTTTGGATTTTGTAACAAAAAAAATATCTTTAACTGTATTTTTCTCGCCCATTATATTGCATGCTGTCAGCGCCTTTAATTGTAATGACACTAATGAACAGTTGATGTATATTTATTTTCCTAAGTCTTAAATAGTGTACATTATGTTGGCGTTCTTTAAATAAATAAATAAATAAATAAATATTAATCAAATTAATTTTCAGAGCACTACTAATAATAAATACGATCGAAATTGCAATTTTCGATTGAAAACTGGTGATCCAATAGGTAAAGAAAAAATAAGGTATGATTTTTTTACCCCAAACTAAAACGCCCAAAAACCGGTAAAGTAATAAATTGATTGATTATTGGAGGAATGTATAGATTTTTAATAATATCATAGAAATAGAAGAGGTTAAAAGATGATTTTGAATACGAATCATCCCAAAAACATGTGTCATTTTAAAGTAATTAAATTAACAGGCATCCCAATGGACGGGCCTTACGATAGTTTTAACCGTAATTACCTACAAAAACACCAAGGTACTAAATGAAAAATTTAAGCAATCATTGATTAGACTTTGTAGTTTTTAGTTATCAATTATTAGTAATTATTGCAACTGTTCGTAATGTTGGTCATATTAAATAAAATAAATAAATAATAACTGCTATGATGGCAGGACGTTCTGATAAGCAATTTCAAACACTTTTTAAAGTTTAAAAATATTCGTGGGAGTCAGCTACTGCTCTCCCATAGCTAGGGTGGGAAATGTTTTTTCAATCCGTCAAAAAAAGCAATCATTACCATAATGTACGAAAGGATGGGAAGAGTTCCGATGCAGCATCCGGTAATAAGGTTCGAGACACACCAGAATAATAATAAATATGTTTAAAGAAAATGTATGTGGTTGGGAGAAAGGATCATTGTTATGATTTAATCGCACGCCATTAATTGGTTTGGTTACGCAATACAATGCCGATCAATGAGTTTTAGATTAATGAAGGGTTTAATTATTTATATCAAATACTTATTTTTTTTTTTTTTTTTTTTATGCGAAAAAGTTGTCAAACGAGCAGACGGTTCACCTGATTTGTAAAAATGAATACCGCCTACAAACACTCGAGGGTTACAGATGCAACAACCTTTTGAAAATTTTCCGGCTACCTCACTCACCAGACGAAACGCGAAAGTATTTGTCATACTTCCACTTTACGCCGGTCTCCTGTGAGGTCGTGGTACTTACCCGGACGGGCCTGCCCATTCGTGCAACAGCCGAGG